CCCCTCCCAGTCACGCTGCTCGATAAACCGGAATTTTGCGTGCTTTGCGTTGCGTTCTGTATATTCGTGGATGAGATAAAGGTGCACGGTCGGCCCGTCCACTGAAACACGGATTGGCCCGCTGCGCGGAAGGAGCAGCCACTAAACCCTAATGCATTTTGCTGTGCATACACATGCAAAATTATTAGCAGCCATCAGATTATGCACAAATTCATGCACACATGTGTACACAATTGTGTGCATAGTTGTGAACAAACTGTAAAAAAAATATGCATAAGAGCTGAGCACAAATGGCTGCTCACAATTCTGCATATTTTTGCACAGCTAAGTACAAAAGGGTTTAGTGAGCAGGGGCGCGGAAAGTGTTGTGAAGCAGGGTGCAGGTCACGAGGTGCAGGTAGCGGGGCGCGGGGTTGCGAGGAGCGGCCGGACCTCCCGTGCCCTGCCAGCTGCTGCCGCTGCCGAGTGCGTGGGCGCGGCTCGCACTTTCACCGAGGCGTGGAGGAGGGAGGCGCGGAGACCGCGACGATCGTGAACTGGTTTCCGCCACACAAGGCTGCCGGCCGGCGCCGAGGAGGTGGTGTGATGTGAACTCTACACACAGCGCGGCTCTGGGTATGGTTAGACCAAGTTATCCCGAAATGCGCATGCCTCGCAGCAAAAGACGTAAAGTCCCTTTCGCTAGGTGGAATCGCCGTAGTCTCGCCCCACTTCACGATCAGCACTACGATCCGAGCCGTAGCCCAGGCTCCCTCCTCTTCTACCGGATCGCCTCCCCCAAGTCTCCATTCCCTGAACCTCGAGCGGAGCCCGGAGGGCCACGCGCTAAGACTTTGGTGCTCGTGAAGGATAATACTAGAAAGTTCGGCCGAATTCCTTCTACATTCCGCCAAGCAACCGGCAAGGTATTACACCCAGGATTTTCTCGCTATTAGAGTAAATGAGCCTCCCCCACCCCTCCCTCTCAGTAGTTCAGAACTCGAAAATTTCGTGTACTGTGCGAATACGAAAAGTTTGTATTTGTAAATATTTGCTTTACAAAATTTGCAAAGACTCGCTAATACTAGATAATACTTAATTGTGTTGAGTGAAGTACAATTTTTTTTCTTAATACGTTCCGTAGCCCTCCCCCCCCCCCCTTTTCCGTTTTGCCCTTGTACTCACAGAACTTCGTGTCGGTCTTGTCCTCGATGTAGTCCACCTCCGTGGCGATGTCGTCGATGAACCTTGGCGCGTACTTGCCGTCGCCCGTCACCTCCTGCGGCAGGTTGACCTCGAAGGCCGTCGACTTGAGGAAGCGCTCGACGCGGCGCAGCAGGAACTTGACGAACTGGTCCCACTCGGGCTCGTCGGCGCGGGGCTGCGTCGAGTACTCCAGGGGCTCGCTGGCGAGCGAGCGCAGTGACACGCCGGGCAGGCGGATGACCCTGGCGTTGTCGTTGAGCTGGTACAGGTCCTTGTCGAAGAAGTCGTCCAGCGAGGCAAGCGCCCGCGACTTGAAGCACTCGGAGAAGTCACCCTCGAGGCACTGGTGGTTCATCCTGGCCAGGTAGGGGTCCGTCTCAGGCCCGGTGCCCAGGCCGATCCAGTCCAGGAGGTTCTTGCCGTGCCTGACGCCTCCGGCGGCGCCCTGGGGGGCGTCCTCGTTGTACTCGTCCTGCAGCGAGGCGTCGAGCTCGCCCGGCGGGAGCCGCAGCCCCCGGAGGTGGCGCCCCTCGCCAAAGGTCACGTTGGTGGCGCTCGCCGGCCGCTTGGGGGGTGCCGCGGCGCCCGCCGGCGAGCTGTCGTCCTTGAACACGACGCCCGAGCCCGCGGCGGACGCGGCGAGGGCGGCCACGAGGGCGACCGCCAGCAGGCTGCTCTTCATCATGTCGGGCCTGTGGGGCAGAGAACGGGGCTGAGCAAACAGTCACTGGAAACGCTGACGCAGCTGACGCGCGGCGGGGAGGGGAGGGGGGGGGGAGCCCAAATCCTATGATTAGCAGTGTTGATGCCACCACACAGTGGGCGGGGGGGGGGGGGCGGGGGCCCGCCCTACAGAGTTGTACGATCCATATTTGATGAATAGCCGCTGAATAGCTCATAGAGGGAACACTTCAATCGACAACAGGCGGAGAGAAGTCCTAAAAGCAACCCCCGCCCCCGCCCCTCTCTCCCTTTGCCCATGAACAGAAGAAGTCAAGTTGGTTGACAGCTTGATTGGTTCCCTGAGAGTCGATCAGCTGACGTGGGCCAGGTCGTAAGGTGGCCATTAGCACCATTAGTGTGACGGGAGCGTGTGGTGCGCACCTCGTGCACTGCTGTGGCCGAGGGCAGCCGGGCGCCGGCCGGTCTGCTAACAACCACCCGCACCCACCCTTGGGTGTGTACTCATAAGCTGTCGCGTAGGTACCCCCCTCCCCTCACCCCGCGGCGGCTGCTGAGTGGCTCCGAGTCTCGCTACCGCGCCGTGTGCGTGCTCGCAAGTGGCGTAAGCGGGCCTCTTCTTCGGAGAAGCCGGCCGGAACAAGAAGCCTCACTCGTAAGTGGGTCAAAAGGCCAAGGCCTCGACCGGAGCCACCGAAAAAAATAAAAAAAAGAACAATAAATTACTCGACCTGAAACCGGTGGGTTCGGATGAGGCGACCAGAGGAAGAGGCCGGCGGCCAGCGGCCCCAAAGTAACCCGCGCGCCCCGGCCGGGCCAGCGCTGCCAACGCCAACCCTCCACCACGGAGCGGGACGCGACTTTCTCTGTCCCGCCCCGTCCCAGCTCGTTACATGCGCACTTGCGTCAACGCTGTTAGCACCTCGAGCCCGGCCCGGCAGGCCTTCCTCGAAGGCAGTCTCTTTAGAATCATATTTCGCGCCGCCACTAACAGCAAGCGCGTCGCGCGCTGGCTGCGCCACAACGAGGTGTGAAACCCGACAAGAGCGCCAGCGCTCCGGCAGTAATGACTGGATGAAAGCGCGCGGGCGGGTAGCGCCCCACTTGGTTCGAACTTTCAAACTAACTAGGAGAGCCAGGAACGTAACAGAGCTGCTCATGAGCGGAGCACTCATACAAACAACATGCACCGACAACCATCGTAATAATAAACTGGACCACCGACAAATAATTGCCATGACAACGAGGAACAAGCGGGCAAAACCACAATGTGGGTTCTCAGAACCGTGTGCACGTTGCTTCAACTATATTTTACAGTGTGCGGTGAGCTATTCATGCCTCCTAAAAGCACAGGGACATTTTTTTCCTAAAAAGGAAGGTTTTCGTGCTCAAGGCACTGACCGGATGCAATTTTGTTCCAAAAACTGGACCAACGGTGTAAAGTTTTCATTGCACACGAATACGAGTAGGACCAAAACTTTTCCTGTACATTTAGAATGTATAAGAAGACAAAAACCATAATGAGCGTAAGGTTGGTAGCGCCTAGCAGTGACGAACACCTGAGTGTCGTGCGTGGTCTTCCTCACCGCAGTTGGCTACACTGCACCGGAACTTGGTGGGGGAGACGGTGGCATCGACGGAGGGCAGGAGAGGAGGGGGGAAGGGGTCAGGAGCAGGGCGGCTGGAGGTGCCGGTCCCCGGCATGGTGAGGCAGAAGGCGAGAAGCAGTGGAGGTGTGCGGATATCTGCGGGAGAGCGGGGGTGGCTGGTGGGGGGC